TAATAAAGAGATAAGGATAAGCAAGGACTTTTATGATGTTGAAATAGGTAGGACATGATATAAACAAAGAAGGTTCTTAGTTCAAGAGTCTAATTATAAAAGTATATTTCTATTTAATCCTTTCCAACAATTTAAGGAACTAAGAATAATTAATCTCATAAATGATCCAATAGATGATTTTCTCTTTATTTTTTCCTTTCTTTTCTCTCTGTAGTTACCCTGGCTGGATGCACAGCAGAGGAAAGCATAAACAACTCTAAATGTATTTCAGCTTTAGGACAGAAGGTGCCCATGCAATATCCTGTGTACTTAAGTGGGTCTGAGCTCTCAGGAAGGATGCAGTTTTGCTGTGAATCTGTAAATGGCTCTTGCATAAAGAGCAGCTGGTCAAACAGCATTCGAATTTCCATGTATATCCTCATGGTGTGCATCATTCTTGCCACTGTAGCTGGAAACCTGACTGTTATCATCTCAATATCACACTTTAAGCAGCTCCATACACCTACGAATTTCCTGATCCTTTCCATGGCCGCTGTTGATTTCTTGTTGGGATGTTTCATCATGCCTTACAGTATGGTGCGCTCTGTTGAACACTGCTGGTACTTTGGAGAACTCTTCTGCAAAATCCATACTAGCACTGATATCATGTTGAGTACAGCCTCCATTTTCCATCTCTCCTTCATTTCTGTTGATCGCTACTATGCTGTGTGTGACCCACTGAGATACAAATCGAAGATAAATACTTTCATCATACTGGTCATGATCTTCATTAGTTGGACCATCCCTGCTATTTTTGCCTTTGTTATGATCTTTCTGGAACTAAACGTAAGAGGAGCCGAAGAGATTTTCTATAATCACATCCATTGCGTAGGAGGCTGCTTTGTCTTTTTTAGTGAAACATCAGGTGTGATAGCCTCCATGTTTTCCTTCTACATCCCTGGATTTGTTATGTTATGTGTCTATGGGAAAATATATGCCATAGCAAAGAGGCAGGCAAGATCTATTAAAGATGCAAGTAGCCAAACTCAGATCCGACTTGAAATGAAGCACCACATTTCACGAAGCAGAGAAAGAAAAGCTGCAAAGACCTTAGGCATAGTGATGGGAGTTTTTCTTTTATGTTGGACTCCATTTTTTTTCTGTACTGCCACCGATCCCTTTATGAATTATGTCACACCTCCTGTACTCATAGATGCATTAGTTTGGTTTGGTTACTTGAATTCTACATTTAACCCAATAGTTTATGCCTTTTTTTACACGTGGTTTCGCAGGGCACTAAAAATGATTTTACTGGGTAAAATTTTTCAACAGGACTCTTCCAGAACTCAATTATTTTTAGAGTAATGCACTTAGAACTGTTGGACCATTCTCTTTTGTTTGGAGATTGTATTTATGAAAGCAAGAGCTAACGGTGAAGGAGTTGACAGATGCTTGCTTACCCACTTGTCAAATCTGTTCAGGCAGCTAACCATAGTACCTTAAACCTTTGTCCCAGTACTGCCTGGAACTGCACCAAATGAACCTTGGTTCTTTTGTTATATTCATGAAAGACTGGTTTAATATTTACAGTGTGCTGAGCTTTATACTATACACTTTAGACAAAGTTTGCAATGTAAAAGAACCTTATATCAGTGTATGTGGAAGTATATCATTCTGATGCAAGAAAAAGTGGAACAAGAGAAACAAATAAATAAAATATTTATTTGTTTAACTGATACAAATACATTTTAATATCTGTATGAATCTTCTGCCCTCTAAGGAATGTGCAAAATGGGTTTCCTGTTGGATCTACAAATGGATTTGAAGTGATAACCTAAAACAGGAGTTGTCAACCAGGGGTATGTGTATCCCCAGGGGTACTTGAGAAGGCCAAAGGGTGTACATGCAGGTGGGCAGGAATGGAGCGCTACCACACATCATCCTATGCTACCATGCAGGTGCCGCCTGCCCGGCCAGACACAGAAAATAGGAAAAGCTTGCACATGGTGGCTGCTGCTGCTCTGCATTTGGTCGTGCACCATCCCCTGGCCCCCACACCCTGCTCCACATTTGGCCATCGGGGTACACTGCTCTGTGTCCAGCCGCCAGCGGTATGCTGATCCAAAAAGGTTGAAAACCCATGACCTAAAGAATGAGGGGGTCTGTTTTAAAGCAATTCCTCTTTCAATGCTTATTTACATTTAATAAGGTTAGCATTTAAGTTTGCATGTCAAAAAGTACCAAAACAGTAAGTGACCCTTTCATGCAACAAATTCAGAAGGAACATCAAACAGCAAGGGACTAGCCCTAAAAATGTTTCTGGGAGAGTTGTTCAGTGTGAAACCTCTCCCTCTCTCCTTCTGCTTGTACCTGCCAAAGACTGGGTGATCCCAGTATGGGGAAAGTGTGGAAAGCAGCTGCTGCTCCAGTCCCCAGTTCCTGAGGGGACAGGAGCAGTGGGACCAACGCTCCCCACCCACCCCTCACTTCAGGGACCCCAGCTTGAGGAGAGGATGGGAAGCAAAGAACAGTTGCTCCTCTGCTTGGCTCCTGGTCTCAGGAAGGCATGGGGAGCGTTTTTCCACTGCTTGATTTTTTCCAAACCTTGGGAAGACAGAGGAAGCTTTTCACTACCACTGAACTCCTTTTGGTCCCCTGAAGGACTGAAGCAACAGGAAAGTGTACAGATATTCATCCTGCTAGGAGAAGCTTTCCTAGGAGTGACATCTACTGGACTGAGGATGGGTTATTTTTCTCCTGGAACCACCATGTTTGTTCTGGGAAAAAATCTGTGAATGACTTTATGCTTATGGTTTATCTCATGAGAGCTATGATTCTCCTGGTAGAAACTAATGCCTGTATGTGGCATAAAACATTTGTCAATCAAAATATTTTGTTAGCTTTTACAGTATGACATTGTTATGTTAAAATTAATGTTCTATCAAACTGTAATAGAATAAACCTTTGGTTTGATCCTGCAAATAGTATCATCAGTTGTACTTGCTACTGGGGGAAGTAATGGAGAGGTGTCAATGAACTATATGTTGTAGGAAGAGCTCTGCTAGGTATAAATGTATAAAGGATTGGATCCTGCTTCCTTTTGGATGGGAAAAATGCATGTGCCATTTGTCAGATCTTGTCTGTTTTTGTACAATAATTAGCAAAAAGAGAATAAAAATTAGCTGTTAGTGTTTCACTGGGAAATGAAAATAATGCTACATTTCAATAGACCAAAATACCAATATCCCCTATTGCTTCTTTTAATATATTGTTGTTTCATTGCCATTTTGTAAATCTGTATTCTTCCAAGCTAACTAAAAATAAACGATGGCTGAAATATACATTATAGTTGGCCAAATATGCTATTGACATTTTTAATCGCCAATGATGCTTATGCTTCATACTAGGAAGTAACAATCAGATAACACTCTGGTAAATTAACTGATAATTAAATAATTAAGAATCTTTTCCTTTTCCTTCTTTGTTCCTTCTCTGTCATTCCCTTCTTCTGCTCCCCCATACCTGTATAGTATGTACTTAATGCAGGAAGGGAAGGGTCTCATGTCACCGTATTCTTTTGAATGATCATACAGTAAGCACCATGATATGACCTGTGGGAGACATCTAGAAAAGTTGTAAGGCATCAGTGGAGCTTTTTACAAAACATAAAAGCTCTGGAGGCAGTTAGCAGCAGAGCATTTTCTACTGCCAATTACCCAGTACCAAAGTTTCTTTCATATCATGTTCTCGAAAATGGACCATAAAGTCACCATTACCTGGTTATCCTGTGAATCCTTCTTTGAGACCAACATGAAGCCTTGAGAATACCACCAACCAAGAGACTGGTTAGATAGCAAGATTATTTTTATTAATGTATTAATATAAATTATGGTTGGTTTAAATATTATGACTGAGTAGAAGTCAGCTTTCTGAGTTCATAACTGGCATCTGTAAATCCATTTTACTATTTGACTAAGACTTCTTCATTCCTTCTTATAGTTAATACCTGCAGGTAGACTGTTGTCTTTTACCCCATGGTTTACCAAAGAGACACTGTGCTCACTGTGCCTGACTGTTGTAGTGCTTTGAGTTCAGTTGTACTGGTTCTAGTGGTGTAGCAGAACCAGGCCCCAGGGGCAGCAGCTCCTCTGGGTACCCTCCCTTTTTATCTCACCTACCATGCTTTGATGGAACTTTAAAGATGTTTAGGGAGGCTGCTCCAGGATCCCAGAGTGAGCTGTGGTTCACGTTAGCTATCTGGTACTTCCCATAATAAGCTGGCCTCAGTCTGGCCCCTTAGCTACTAAATTATGGTCCTCCAGTGCCTCAGGGTACCAGTTGCTTTATGGGTTATATTTATGGCCTCTGTCCTCCCCTGTAGTCATGTTCATGAAGTTGTTACTTCATATTCATTCAAAGGGGGCACCCTGGCCCAAACACAGATTGGTCCCCTGGCCTCAAACTTTTGGCTGGGCCTCAGCCTTCCCAGCCTTGGCCATTTTATTCTGGCTGCATTCCTCAGCCCAGGTTCACTGCTGCCATCCCTGTCTCCTGAGACCCAGCCCTGTCTCTCGCTCATGTGGTCTGGGCTGCTGATCCTGTCTTATGCTCCAGACCCCTGGCCCTGTCCTGCACTCTTGTGCACCAGACCAGCCCTCAGCCCTTTGGGTCCCTGACCCCAGGCTGGGAGGCTTTCATTCCCTGTGGTCTTGACCCTCCCAATCTTGGCCTAACTCACTAATCCCTAACTCACTAAGCTAAGGGCCAGTGCTTACTAAGTTAAGCCAAAGGTCCCTGATCCTAGGCTAGGCTACTGTGACAAAGTACCTATCAGGCACCCCTATGTGGCCTCCACATCTACCTGTAGCCCCAACCCAATCATAGTTTCATAGTTTCTAGGGGCAGAAGGGACCTGAGAAG